GGGAGAATTTCTAAAATTCTCCTTTTATTGCAATAGAAAGAGAAATGGAAAATGAAAAAATACGCAGATGTGAGGAAGAATAACAGTATGCTGACATAAATCGAGCTACAAACAAATAAACATCACATGCTTAATTAACGATACTAAACTGAGCTGGTCCTGTGTCCCACTTGCATTAAGGATGAATGCTAGAATTAACATCTGCTACGCGTTCCTGATTTTATATGTTAGTTGTGTGAGCCTACCAAGTATGAGGTTTTGTGACTTTTACATTACTTTTTAATTTATACATTAGTTTGCAAAACTCATTGTTTTCCATCATTTAGGAAGACTCCTCTTTGATAACATACTGAATGAGCAGCCGAGGGAATCCCTTTCTAAAGAAGGTTAGGAGGGTCACCATGGTCCGTGTCTCTATCGGCTGCAATGATATTAGATTTGGTGAAGTGAACTATATATCTCAGGCACTCCCTGTGCTGGGCGAGGGAATATTTCACTGCATGGGAGGGGAGGGTGTAGAATTACTCTGTGCTCTCCAGTGCTATATTTTATCTTAGGACACACCATTGACAGCCTCTCTCAATTTCATCATTTTTTTTTTTTGGAGGGGCAGGGCTGGCTTGCTCTCTCTTTTTTACACACACACACACACACACACACACACACACACACACACACACACACACAAACACATACCACAACTGTACCCCTGAAAAATATTACAAAGCTGTTATGGTCTGTTTTCTTTTACTTACTCCCAGAAAATCAAATCCCTCCCTTTGCTCTGTCTCTTTCTCTGTCTCTGTCTTTCTCTCCATCTGTGTATCTTCCTCCTGAAATCATACCTTTTCTAAATTTATTAATACATTATTTGAAGTAATCAGTTATCATCACTTAAAAGGGAGCATAGTTTACTAATTTTTTGTAACCAAGGCACCAACACATAATAATGATACTAGGTGTGACATGCTCGATCAATTAACTGACAAAATATTTGGCAGAAAAAAAATGGCCTGTCATTAATTCTCCCTTGATGTGATAGTATAGAAACTTACGGGATCGGAGGGCTCTCATCAATGTGGAATATTTCAAATTAATTTTATTTTGACTTAAAGTCTTGAAGTCATTTATCAATTTATTTGATTAGCTATATAAAAATAATCTCAACATATATTTGAAAGAAAGTTTTGTATCCAATATTAGTTTGTATTAGTTGCATTTTTATAAACTGCTCACATTTTTTCCTATTCCAGACCATTAAGAACATAATGGTTCAACTTTAATATATTTCAACCAATTAACATTTAGAATGCAATTTCTTTATACAGCAGCACAGTGCAGCCCAAGATTTTGCCTATTTATAACTTAAGTTTTGTTACATTGACAACATTACCTTTCATAAATTTTTTACTTCATTTTTAAGAGGAAACTCAAACATGCTTAGTTTAAGAAAATAGACACATAACTTTCCAAGTGACTTTGATTTTCCTAAAATAACTGCAAGCAGTTTTTATTCAATCAACCAATCAATACATATTTATTGAGCTGCTCTGTTTGCTGAGACTGTTGGGTACTGACTATTCTAACTTGCTGTGAATGACTCCCTCATTTAGGGAGCTAACACACAAAGGCAAGGGCAGTGCATCTTGTTTCGCTGCTGTTTACTAATAATTATCTTACAGTTTTCTCTTTGACCGATGTGATTATTCATAATTTAAAGTGCTCAGTTGCTTAAAGATGAGGGTTCTTCCTCATATGCTATGACTCCTATTTCTTTGCATAATTGATTTTTCTCATGGCCTGCTCCCTTTCTTCAATATTCTTCTGATGCTTAATTTATGCTTTAGTATTCATATTTATATATACACAAGCCATACATCATACATGCAGTCCTCCTTATCTTAATCTTTAAGAGAAGAATGTAATTTTAAAACAAGCTAAAGCAGACATACTTTTTATTTATTTCCATAGTGCATAATAATTTCTATCTTCCAAAAATTATAAAATTGTTATACTATACTTGTTATTGTGGGAATAAGTCATTGTATTTCTAAATAACTCTCTTACAGTGCAATGCCTTACCCTTTGTCCTTTTTATTTTTGAGCTTAAAATGCATTCTTAAGTTGCAGAGAGCAAGTTTGCCTAGTACTTTGTATGATACCCCTTTCTGCATACCACAGATAACTTCTGATCATTTGACTTATGTTCCTCAGCAATAGGCATAGTTTTTTGAGTTTCTTCTACTGAAGAAAAGTCCCCATTCAAGTTTTACTTTCTGATTAAAATTCACATTGGATGTCACTATGTGAATAGATATGCTATTGAAGGAGATGATAGTCCGAGAGGGTTTGCCAAGGTACGTGACCTTCAGCAGACATTACAGGAGTTTCAAAGTTCAAAGGTCATTCAGCATCAAGAAGTTCACCGACTTCACACCTGCAGATGCAGTGCAGAGCTACACGGTGGTTTGACTAATTTCGTGTGGAGATACAGTTCTCGAGAGTACAGAGATGGCTCCGTGGGGAGGAGTGTTTGCTTTGTGAGCCCGAGGACTTGAGTTCAAACTCCAAGAACCCATGTAAAAAGCTGGGTGTGAACACATTTACCTGTGACCCAGGGTTGTGGAAGGGCAGAAACAGTAAGATCACTGAAGCTTGTTGGCTCTGAGATCCACAGAGACCCTGCTACAAAGGGACAAGATGGAGGAAGACAGAGCGAGATGCCTGCAATCTTCTTCTGGCTTCTGCAAGTGTGCACACTGCCACATACACCAACACACATGTGCACACACACTTATGCATACTGCATTAGTATATAGACATGCATACACAATCCCCAAAACGGAATGAATAAAGAAACAAATGCCCAGGTCTTCACTCTCTCCATTTCATATTATCAAGGAAAAATATGTCCTAGAAAGATTTTTAAATCTCCCTTTCTTTTCAATTTGTGTATCTTTATTTTTCTCTAGAAACATCTGGAAAAGGCCACATCTTCTGTTGCAAGACTTCTGCTGCTCTTGTTCTGCCTCAGTAGAACAGTCAGGTTCTCTTGATCGTGAATGAGCAGAAAGCTTTTTATCATCTTTTGTCTTGTTTTCTTTCTGACCCGAAGAATAAGAGCAAGATAAGATAAAGGAAATGGCTGCGGCTAGCCAACTATGGTCTGTTGACTCCTGTAAAAATAACTGTTTCCAGGTCAATATATCTCTGCCTTCCCTCCATAAAACAGTAGGAGCTGTAAATAACACAGTGCAGAGGTACGTGTGGTGCCCACATGACCAAGTATAGTGTTCGAAATGCATTCCGCTGACTTCTAACTTTGGTTATTTATTAAGCCAACTCATCATTAACACTTACATGGCCTGAAGACACAAACCACAAGTAACAAGAACCATCCCATAATGGTGCTATACTCATAGCTTAATCGCGAACGTTTATGTGTGTGTGTGTGTGTGTGTGTGTGTGTGTGTGTGTGTGTGTGTGTTGTAAGCCTTCCTGTGAGACTGTGTGTGTGTGCTTTTGGAGACCAGACATCCACATCAAGATGTCTTCCTCAGTTGCTCTAAGATGGGGCCTCTCACTGAAACAGGAACACACTAATTGGCTGGCCCAGTGAGCTTCAGAGATCTGGTCTCCACTTCCTTCTACTCACTTCCACAGTGTTTCTAGGACTTGCTTTCTGTGCTGGGATTATAGGTGTGCACCACCACACCTAAGTGTAATTGAAACTTCACTTTAGGTGTGACTGAATTTCTTATGTATCTGCATTGTGTACATTTCCCACATTTCATTGGACACTGATGTTTGGCATTTGACTGAGATAACCTGGATATTAACAGAACTCAGCTTTCAACTCAACTCATCCATTCAAAACATTTCTCAGGATTTTGGACACAGTTCCATGAAGGGAAGAGAGTTCATAGTTGTTCTAAGTATTTGTTGTTCTGGGTGTCAGGTAAATGAATAAAATAGATTATGAAAACTAGAAAATGTCAGAGTTCAAACGCTTCATCTACTGCAAGCAAGTTTACTCAGAAGCTGATCCCTGGATGGTGACAACTTCAAGGGTCCATGGACACAGTGGGACACACAGGTTCCAGTCAGTTTATTCAGGAACAATCACTGATTGCCCACAAGAAATGCCAATGAAGTATATAGCTCTGAGAGCACTAACTGGGCCCTGAAAAGAGTCACTCTGCTGGGAAGGGCTTCCCTGAGTGCTGGCAGGAAGCTAAGACACAAAGACACACAGTGCAGACATCTCTTTGGTCACGTTACCCACTTGGCCATCAGATTATCTGACTCTTTGTTGTTGAATGGCAGGAGCTCTTTATGTATTAGGAATACTAATCCTATCAGAAGTCTAAAGCAACCAAATCCGAAAGAGCAGAAAGTACAAGGGTCCCTGATAGGGACAGGAGGGAGAGAAGCGGGGATGTCGTCTGATGGATGGAGAGTTTCTGTTTTGTAACGTGATGAAGCTCTAGATGTCCGTTTTACAACGTAAATGTGTGTAACACCATGGAGCAGCTCGCTGAAAGCACATAAGTGGCAAATGCCATGGTATGTGTTTCGCTGTAGTTTTCTAAATGAGTAAACGTAAGAGTATTGCGAGAGCAAATTAAACTAGGAATAAAAAAGGAACTGTAGTCCCAAGGCCAGTGCTGTAACACTGCCAAGTGCACCAAAGTTCACCACCATTAGCAACAATCTCCAGACAGAGCAGAGGCAAACCGTGTGAACAACATTATAATTCAGTGTGCAGGACAGTGTCACTATTTAATGCTTGAAAAGAAAGTTGTTGTTGTTTTTTTTTCTTTTTCCTTTTTTCCCCCCTGTTAATTTATAGAAACTTCGAATGCAAACTAAGCAATCACGGGTTCACTTGCTTTTATTTTGCTCTAGTTTGGTCAACATAATTGCTAGCATAATATTTGGAGCTATTTTTTAAACCTCAATATACTTTACTCTTAATGATTAGAAAAAAAAGAAATTACCGTAGTCTTGTTCCTTCCAAAGCGCTTCACAAGCTGCCACTCCAGTTTGTCCGAGTTTGACAGGCATGGCCCGAGAGAGAGCGACTGGGTCTCAGATATTCCCAATGACAACTTCACACAAACTCGCTGCCGAAGTCCCTCAAAGCACACCCTGTACTTCATAGCACTTAGCGCTGCTCATGAACACAGAGGCAGGCAAACACACCTCTGCTCAAACCCGAGACATCCTGAAGACTTGGCAGCCAGTGTTTTGAGATAACCTATTGACTTGTCCTTCAGGACTGTGGGTCGGAAAGCCCTAAGGACAGAAGGAACCAACCTGGAGAAGAGCAAAGAAAGGTGCATTCGGAAAGGACAAGGCAAGGAGGGCTTCTGTCGCTGGGGAGCCTGAAGTCACTTAAGCCACGGGACGCATCTGGGGTCGCGACAGGGGGACTCAGGCTGAGCGGGAGCCTGCAGGGATAGAGAGGAGGGAGATAAAAGGCGGGAGGCGGAGCTGCGGGGCGGCGGGGGCGCGGCTGGCGGCGGCGGGAGCGGGCGGGCAGGCGGGCTCGTAGGCGGCGCCGCAGCCCCAGCCCGCCCGGCTCAGCGATCTGCGGGGCCCCGCGCTTCTCTGCTCCCCTGGTGCTCCGTTCCCGCACCCAGCGTCGAGACGTCCCGGAGTTTGCCCAGGAGCGCGGGCAAGTTTCTTCCTCAGCCCGCTCTGCCCGAGAGATACCTGGAAAACACCAGGGACGGATGCCGAGGTAACCGCACTGGGGCTAGGGGATGCGCGGTACCCGGGGTCGGGGCACCTCTGGGGACCGCGGTGGGCGCGGCTCTGGGTGGACGAGACCTACATGGTAGCTTTGTGGCTTTATCACCCCTGGGGCTGAGGGTGGCATCTTGGGGCATTGCAGACCACTTCAATCCACTTTGTTGGACGTGCAAGGGGCGGGGAGAGGAAGAGCGGTGCAAGCACTCAGGGGTAACTTAGTAGCTACCTGGAGCTGGACTCCTACCCACCCCACCCCCGGGCCGGGCCCCAGAGGGGCACCGTGAACTCCAGGGTTCTGTTGACACACCCGCGTGGGGACAGGTAGGGCTTGGAAACAGGACACCCGAGGAGAGAGTGTTGAGTTTCCTAGCGCCGGTCTGTCCAGTCTCTGGCTTGTTTGGTTGGAAGATGAGCGTCCCTGCCCCGGTGACTCCTTTGCCCTGGCCCCAAACTCTGAGCGACGCTGCAGAGACTGCGGGCCAGGTGGGAGGGAAGTTTCCAAGCCGGGGCTGGATGGTGGCTGAGCAGAGGGGTGGAGAGGGCAAAGTGAGCCTCAGGTGTGAAGCAGGTAAGGGAGGAGGATGCAGCGTTTCTATCACTGTGGTGGGGGGTCCCTTCGCGCCATTCCCCACCCCTCTTCTGCCTGGTTTGAACATCCTGCCCGCCAGCATGTTTCTGCAGAAAGACTAAGCGCTACTTATGTTTGATGCCTGACAGAGGTTGTTTCCGACTAAGTTCCCACGTGTGGAGTCTACAGCTGTGGCCCCTGGTCCTCAGATCCCAATCGGCCGCCCCCAATCCTCCCACAATTGTGCCTGAATCAGTCCCAAGGTTTTGAAAGGGGTGGATGGAAAGAGTGTGTTTCTGTGAAGGACCCTCCCACCCCGTAGTGCTAAGGGGTCCAACCCAAAACCCTGTGGGTGTTTAGTAGGAAATTTCCTTTTTCGAGGGTTTTTGTTCTTTGGTTTTTATTTTTGTTTGTTTTTCCTTTCTGGTGATTAAGATAGTTTGATTAATCAGTATCTATTTTTCTTCTTTAACCCCAAACATTACATTATTCTAGCTCTGTGCAATTTTATTTACTATGTGCAAGTATATTACTATTCCTGTTCCTGCTGGCTTAAAGAACACAGACTTCTTTTATACTCACACCAAGCACAGTGTGGCCATATTTAATGTTTATCTGTCTCCCTGATTCGATGGTCCTGCCACCTGCCACTTCCCTGGTGTAATCATAACACCATATGCCTGTCTACCAAACTGAGGAGAAGAAGAACATCACTGTTTTCCACGGGCAAAAATACCCAACTATCAGATTTTACTATTGCTTATTAGATGAAGCGCTTCAGACAAGATGAATCCATTTAAGAAGGGACAAATTTGTAATTCTACCCAAAGCTTTCAAACAAGATCCCTGGACACTTGGAGTTGGTTAGGAATTGAGGGGAAAATTAAACTATCATCAAATGGGAAACATTTTAATTGAATACATTCAATAAGAAACAGTACCTATCAAACACCTAGAAAAAAAAAAGAAGAATTTTTTTTTTTTTTTTTTTTTTTTTTTTTTTTTTTTTTTTTTTTTTAAAAAATTTTTATAAAAAAAGAAGAATTTTTTTTTTTTTTTTTTTTTTTTTTGTTTTTTTTTTTTTTTTTTTGCGCCTTTCCTGGAACTCACTTGGTAGCCCAGGCTGGCCTCGAACTCGCAGAGATCCGCCTGCCTCTGCCTCCCGAGTGCTGGGATTAAAGGCGTGCGCCACCACCGCCCGGCAAGAAGAATTTTTTTTATTATCTCATTTGCTTTTTATCATCTCCATGGGGATGGTAGCTTCCTTCAGAAATGAGTACCTTGCATATAGATTTGGTATTTACTGACTGAACATCATATTGTGTGATATAGGGGCTTGGTGACAGTCCAAAAATGCATATTTTAAATCATCCCCAACCATCTGTTCTCTCCCATTCCCATACAGTGCAATAGTATATTCTCAAGGGTGTTCAGGCACACTTACTCATGTCACACCTTTGCATGAGCATCCCCAAAGCTGACACTGTTGTCAAGTTTGACCCAAGTTGTCAGGCTGCTACTTTTCTCCAATAGGCCTTTGGTTCCAACCAAGGAAGAGCTCAAAAGTCTTGAGCCATGTGACAAGGCTAGCATATGCTCCAGGAGAGTCTAACGTTTGTACTTCCATCTTTTGTTACTAGAGAAGTTGGACATTCATCCAGCTATGGGATCCTCCTGGTGATATGAGTTCCTTCATGGTTCATCAATGGGCATCATTTGGTGCTCTGAAGACATAAGTGAAACATGCCTTGGTCTGTAAGAGTGATTGTGATTGCCTCCTGGGTGTACCATCTTCCTGGAGAAAAATTACAAAATGGAGAACTAATGTAACACTCCAGACATTTAACTAAATAGACATAAGGACCGAGGAATGGCTCATTGGGGGTACGGGAGCTTGCTGCCAAGCTTGATGACCTTAAGGTCGTTTACCAAGACCTATATGCAGGAGAGAACAGACTCCATCTAGCTATCCCCTGACCTTCCCCTTAGGCATACACAACACACACTCAAACCCCATGTCACTTACTTTTCTATTGCTGTGATAAAGCAACTTATAAAAGAAAGCATTAAATTGAGCTTATGGTTTTAGAGGGTTAGAGTCCGTGATGATGGAGCAAAAGGGCTGACAGTGAGAACAGCCAGCTCAAAGTTCACACTTCAATCCAGAAGCAGGAAGCAGAGAGCTTACTGGGAATGGGACCAATCTACTGAAACCTCAAAGCCAGCCCTGAGTGATACACCTTCTTTGACAAGTCCACACATCCTAAGCCCTCCCAAACAGTTTCCTCCACCTGGGACCAAGCATTAAACATATGAGCCTATGGGGTCATTCTTATTCCATCCACCACATTGCTAACACACACACACACACACACACACACACACACACACACACACAGCCATAGATAGATCTAAATAATGCACAGTATTTCCCCCACAAATATTAGCATGCATGAATGACATGGGGTAGTTTACAAAAGCTGACTTACGGATAGAGTAGTTTACATTTTTGTTTTTTATCTGAATGAATCACCATGCATGGAATTGTCACATGGACCAACAATCTCTGTTTTGTACATGTTATCATTTGAGAGAGATTGGAGGCTTTTGGATCCCTCCCCCATTCAATTCCCAATTTGGAGCAATTGTTCTATAACTCAAATATATTTTAGTTATATGTGTGTATATGTGTGTGCTCATGTGTGTGCAGGTGCACCTTATGTGTGAGAGTGTGTGTGCATGTATACACATGCAAGTGGAAGCTAGAGAACATTCTTGGAGCTTGTTGCTCCTGAGGTTCCATCTACTGTGTGTTTTGAGACTAGGTCTCTCATTGGCTCAGGGCTCTCTGTTAGGCTTAGCTGACCTGCCAGTGAGCCCCCGTATCTGTCTGTCTGCACCCTCCTAGTCCTGAGAGTACAAGGTTGCACCACTGTGGACTACTTTTTGCACAGAATCAAATTTTACTGTAAGTCATCTCATCAGCCCCATGTTTATTTATAAGACTTAAAAAACAAAAACTGTCGATTCAAAGCCGTATGGTGTGTGTGTCCATGTGTCTGTGGGTGTGTGTGTCCGTGTATGTGTCCGTGTCCGTGTCCATGTCCGTGTGTGTGTGTGTGTGTGTGTGTACATGCTCAAACTCTTCAGTAGTTGTCCTATCCCTCCAAACCTTTGGGATTATTTATCACTCAAAATTAATCCTCAGGATAGACAAAATGTTAGAAATTTTGCTTTAACTCAGATCTGGATACAATACTCCGAACTAGTTTCATGATTTTTAGGAACAAGGTAATGGTGATTTTGCTCAGATTGCAAATATTAAATATGTGAGGAATAATGAAAGCCCAGGACAGGGCTTCTTGTTCCCATAGACTACAAACTGTGCTTATTTTGAAGATTTTAAGGTTTTAGCTTAGAAGGAGCAGTGCACTGAAGAGAATAAACCCAAACTATGGATAATTCTGAACATAAAGCTGCCCTTAAAAATATGGTCTAATTTAAATCTTTGTTTCTTACATAAGAATGTGTTACCTCTTATTTTTTTTGGTGTACTAAAAATGAATTATTGAGGGGAAGCTGTTTTACCATGTATAGTAGGTACTCTGAATTATTCATTTTAATGAGAAGAATACAGGAAAAGATAATCTAAAATCATGGTTATTTAAAAAGTCATTTGTGTTTGTCTTTAGAATATGTTACGTGGTTGGCTTGAGATTCCCATTGTTACTGTGGGCAAGTTGCCTTTCTAATTTTGTTTTTGTTTAGGTTAATTTTCAAAATGAGCTTACATGCCTCAAACACCAAAACCAGTTTCTAAGGAGGTAGGGTAGGTGGGCACCTTGCCCAGTAACAAGCTGGGTGACAGAAATAACCAAATCTGGAACAAAAACTTTACAGTGAATTATGTATAATTCACAGCAAGATAATCAAGATTGTATTGTATGTCATGTAATGGATATGTTAAGTGTTGGATATATTCCTGGAAAGATGAGAGGGTTTGTGTGTGTGTGTGTGTGTTGTTTGTTTGTTTGTTTGTTTGTTTCAGTGTGTGTGTGTGTGTTATATGCATGTGTGCACATGTGTGTGGAGGTGAATACATAGAGG